AAATCCAAACGTTTAAAATGATAAGAAAGACACAGTAGTGAAAACCGGACTAACCGTCCATAAGCAAGATGGCCGCCGGACCTTCACTTGGCTTTGGCGGCGTGTCGTCACGGCGTAATGGCTCCTCCTTACACATTTTGTGCCATGCACATCTTCAGAGGGGATGCCAATACTGCCATGACGCTCACTGTCTAAATTTATAGGAAAAATGGCGCATGCGCGTTACGCCGGCGCCATTTTGTTGACAATGGAAAGTATGCAAAAGACGTGCGCGCGCATCTGTGGGCGCCATTTTGCCATGGATTTAAAAAGGATAGGTACAATGTCTCATGAGAGATCGTACAGTGTACTGATATGACCACTTGTTTTTAATGAATCTTATGTTATACTTTTTGTTTTAATTCTGATATTATCTGAGGTTTATATAATTATTTAATGTTAGTTATACTATTCTATTTTGAATATTGTAATGTTACATTTTTCACACTTTTTTTGTTTTTCTACTTTTGCATAATTATTTAACTTATGTAAAGTCGTCTGCAATTAAGGCGTATATAACTTTAACTGATTTACATTTAAGGGTACATTTAAGCAGTATGACCATACCCCTGCTGTAAAGAACACTAGATACTGCACATTTATAAAGCAGATCTGAAGCCAGCAGAGTATATTAAAAATGAAGGAACACTAAAGCAAAAAAAGCCGGGAGGAGAGCCCTGCCATGTGACTTGTCAAAGTCACATACAGTAATTGGATCTCCTTCAATCACATTCATACATTCATTCTTTTAGCTCCTCTGAGCAAAGCAAAGAAAACTCTGTGGGACTTTTCTAGCTTTCTGCTGCATCCCAGTTTTTATGACAGAGCAGCTTCGTAGGTTTGAATGTTTTGTAGTTTAAAGCATGAAGCTCGGCAAAAGCACCATGTATCAAACAATTTCTTTTTTTTAAAATAAAATACTTGAGTTTTTCTTCTTTGAATCCTTTGTTGCTTCTCTGTGCTGCTTGTCTCCGATATCCTCTTTGTAGGCCATCAGAGGTTAGGTGGGTGGTACTTCCTCCATGCTCCCCACATCGTTGGGCACCAAGTATGGATAACATAGGGAGCGTACCCCAGAGTGGGTTCTTCTGGGCTATGCTAGGAACCTTGAGCAGGGTCACTGCCTCACACATGGGGTACCTTTGCTTTGTGTTGTACACCAGGTACACTTGAACCTCTAAACTGTTCTCCAGTTAACTCTCTCCATACCGTGTCAATGTACACCTTCACTGTAACTTGTTGCATTTAGGAGGGACACACTGACCCTATGCCCACTCCACCTGCCCAGCGTATCTCCACTACCATACTCCCAGTACTGGAATGGAACCTCGTCATGCACCTAGTGTGGCTCCATGCATGCATCCACTTAACTTTCTCTGCTGTACCTAGTGCACAGGTTGAGAACCTCTGAGCACTATGGGAGATGGACCGCCAGGGGAAATAAGCCAGCAACACTCCCTTGCTACAAGAGCATGTCCCATTTGTCACAGGTACATGCTTAACAACAGGCTGCTTGACTGACTGATGGCTTCTGCTGCCTTTGCTGTCTTCATACCCCAATGTGTCTACTGACCTAGGTTTCAGACTATGTGTGCTGGTTTCTTGCGTACACTCCTTTAGTGACATTAGACAAGGCAAAAGGCAATGTTTACAAGCTTTACTAAAAATGTTCTGAACATTTCTAGGGATCACACAATAAATCTTTTAGATGCCAAACAATATGGTTAATATACAAAATTTACAAAGTAGACTTTGGGCTACTTTACCATACTGCATAGCATTTGCCAGAAGGATCTACCTACAGGTCTTGGATTTTTACAAAACATAAATTTCACATTGTAAACTGGCTTGAGATTTGAAACATTACCTTGATGTATGTCTAAGCTATATAAGCTAGATATATGAACTAAGCTATACGCTAAATCCAATTGTATTAGTTTCAAAAAGAGCAATAAAGTGTTAGAACACTTATTATGCTTTTACTGTTTTCTCTACTCCCACTGAATAGATTCACCCTTTCAATTTGTTCTGGTCACTACTATCACTGAAACCAAACACGATGGGAAATCCAAATTTTCCGGTTATCACCACAATGAGAGATTAAGTAAATATCATAGAGACAGTCTAAGGCAGGCCATATACTATGCCATTTTTCTTTTCTTCAACCTATGGTTGCTCTATTCCCCCATCAACACAGTCAGTGTTGATGGTGGAATTCCTCCCGCTGCACTATTATATTCTGACAGTGGGAGGTTTCCCTGCTATCAGAATACAATGATCACTGGAAGCGGCTATAGCTTCTGGCAGCGATCATAAGAAAAAATCTGACAGGCAAACCAGCCTGCACATGGATGGATATAAATTGAAACCGGCTGAATTTTGATCTGCCAGCCTAAGAGGGGATTTGATCTTAGAAAGAAATGTCCTTTCAGTTACTGTTGTGTATCTGGTTCAGGAATTTAAAGAAAATGTTCCCCAATATGGACAAAGACATCAAAAAAGAGAAAAAACAGTAACAGGGATTTTAACCAATCCATAGTCTATCCTAAACCTGAAAAAAAAAAATTGGGTTTCAAAAGATAGTTGCTTTGAGTCTTAAAGGAGATCTATGTCTTAGCATACACTTTCTTTTTACAACATTAGTATTGTAATAACAATACAAGCAATAGTCATTATTCACAATCCATTAAAAGAGTACATGGAAAATGTATTTTCTCCTCTTGTCTGCTGGTCAACTCTTTACACAATTTCCTGGATTCCCTGTATGCTTTGCAGCTTCTCCTCTGCTGTTTACATTCAATTTCTAAAGACTACATATCCCATGGTACCTTGCTGCCTTCCAGCAATGATTCCTGTACTGACTCTGCCTCCTGAAATTCCTCCTCTCACCACCTATGTAGTTCAAAAGGCAGGCTCTGTGAAATATGTGACACAGCCGTGCCTAACCACAGGGCATAGTGAATATGTGTCACAGAATTCAAGGAAGTAAATGTATGGGGATCTTCACAAAGTAAAGTTTACAAATGTCAAGATTGGTCAGATTAATAATTGAACTGCAAAGTGTAAATGAATATATGATTTTACATTTTGACCATAGATATGCTTTAGTAATTGTGTTAGTCCTTTGTACTGCAAGAACGTTAAAGCAGAAATCTGGGTAATTGTTTTTGGCCCATGCAGTGGGCCTGTGCCAGCACTGCACGGGTCAAATGCTTGTTTTGTTCTAGGGGAGAGGACACTGAAGATATATACTCACCTGACCCACAGATCCTCCCCACACTAGACCGGTTCTTTCAGCTCCTGCCCGACCTTCCCTTCCCCATAGTCCAGCAGTCTTGTAAATGGGCTGTTCCTGATGTCAGCAAGCTCAATGCACGCTCTACAGACAGGAGCATTCCACTGCTGGACCGTGGGAGAGCTTGGTTTTCCATAGGATTGGCAGGTCAGGTGAGTATGAGCTTAGTCCTCAGCCCCAGAAAAAACAAGCAGCCAATCCATGCTGTGGGGGCACTGAATATTCTAACTGAATTTGCTTTCAACAAGGCAGGTCCTCCTCCATGAGTAATATCCTATACCAATTACAGTGCCAATAAATTAAATGTGAAATGCTTGATCTGCATTTAATGCTGTACTGGTTTATTTATAAATCCACATAATGTTACCATTTCATGAAGTAACCTAAGCAAATTTGCTAAATACTGGAGACACTAATGTGTACAGTTCATTTGTGTGGTTCTACACAGCACAGGATATATGAGATACTTCATTTATTTTTAAAAGTATTGTAGGATCCCTAGAGATTAAAGAAGTGGGTTGATTAAAAAAATTTACTGTATAATAATGTGAACCTAACCCATTTTCTGAAGGCTTGTAAATGATAAATTATTACTTATCACTTAATTTAACGTTGCTTGGGATGAGTCATTTAAGATTATGATAGTGAGTGATAAGGAAGTTAAGAAAAAAAAACATAAAAGCAAGCCTACATTCTGAGACCAGGAATAAGATATATACAGTATGTAGTAGTTTAACACAACAAGAATTATTACAGTTGATAGGCACTCATTAATTAACAGTTTTTTACTGATGATACCCTCCGTATACAATTAATTAAACTATACTGTATAGGAATTCTCACCTGTTAAAACAATCCATTCAGTTTAAAAATGGAAATGCAAGAAAAAACATCCGTACATACATTATATTTCCAAAAGTATCGGAACACCTGCCTTTACACTAACATGAACGTTAATGGCATCCCAGTCTTAGTCCGTAGGGTTCAATATTGAGTTGGCCCACCCTTTGCAGCTATAACAGCTTCAACTCTTCTGGGAAGTCTGTCCACTAGGTTTAGTAGTGTGTCTATGGGAATGTTTGACTATTCTTCCAGAAGCACATTTGTGAGGTCAGGCACTGATGTCGGATGAGAAGGTCTGGCTTGCAATCTCCACTCTAATTCATCCCAAAGGTGTTCTATCGGGTTGAGGTCAAGACTCTGTGTGGGCCAGTCAAGTTCCTCCACCCCAGACTCACTCATCTATGTCCTTATAAACCTTGCTTTGTGCACTGGAGTGCAGTCACGTTGGAACAGGAAGAGGCCATCCTCAAACTGTTTCTACAAAGTTGGGAGCATGAAATTGTCCAAAATGTCCTGGTATGCTGAAGCCTTATGAGTTCCCTTCACTGGAACTAAGGGGCCAATCCCAACCCCTGAAAAACAACTTCACACCATAATCCCCCCTCCACCAAACTACAGTTGGCACAATGCAGTCAGGCAAGTACCATTCTCCTGGCAATCACCAAACCCAGACACATCCATCGTACTGCCAAACAGAAAAGTGTGATTCGTCACTCCAGAGAACACATCTTCACTGCTCTAGAGTCGAGTGGTGGTGTGCTTTACACTACTGCATCTGACGCTTTTCATTGCACTTGGTGATGTAAGGCTTGGATGCAGATGCTCAACTATGGAAGCCCATTCCATAAAGCTCTCTATGCACTGTTGTGCTAATCTGAAGGCCACACAAAGTTTGGAAGTCTTTTGCTATTGACTCTGCATACAGTTGGCAACTTCTGAAGACTGTGCGCTTCAGCATGTGCTCACCCCGCTCTATCATTTTACGTGGCCTACCACTTTGTGGCTGAGTTGCTGTTGTTCCCAGTTGCTTCCACTTTGTTATAATACCACTAAGAGTTAACCGTGGAATATTTAGTAGGAAGGAAATTTCATGGATGAACTTATTGCACAGGTGGCAACCTATCACGGTACCAAACTTGAATTTACTGAACTCCTGAGAGCGACCCATTCTTTCACAAATGTTTGTAGAAGCAGTCTGCATGCCTAGGTACTTGATTTTATACACATGTGGCCATGGAGGTGATTGGAACACATGAATCCAATAAATTGAAGGGTTGTCCCAACACTTTTGGTAATATAGTGTGTGAGTATATGTATGTGTATATATATATATATATATATATATATATATATATATACTACTTTTTTTTCTTTTTTTAAAAGTTACCACCTAACTGTTGTTCTCAGCTACATAAGAGGCCTAGAGAGGTGGGGGTTGAGACTGCAGGGAGGGGTGTGTCATCAGCAGGCAGAGAAATAGCAAAACACTGATATTCCCAGTGAATATTTGTGCAGGGGGGAGTGTCAGCACAAGTCTGACCACTGCAGTACAGGCAGGCTGTGCTCCCAAGCAGAATACAAAGTAGAAAACTGACCAGACCGGGGTGGATGTGCTGTCATGCTTAGCATAGTTAGTTTGAAATAGGAAAGCAGGGGGGTGGTAGGATCACTGGGTATTTCACACAAAGGAAGCAATACAAATAGAACCTGATATGTTTTAACACAAGTACATGGTACAACAGGTGCATTTCAGGAATATGAAATGTTGGAATAACAAACAATTTAAGCCTTTTGTCAAAAAGGGTTCATACATAAGGGTTTCATTTCCCAGTGTGTTATGCAAAGATCCAAAATATTTGTGTCAATAATTATAACGTAAACATCAATGTGTACACAAGCTTACTAGAGTGACCTCAGCTCAGACCTCACACAGCTTTCCAGGGAGGGACAAAGCGGTCAGCAGACAGGGTTCAGCTTTCCAGGGACAACAGCAGGCTCATGGGGACTCAGCTTTCCAGGGACAACAGCAGGCTCACGGGGACTCATCGGGGTCTTGGCTGTGGGGTCTGACCTCGGCTCAACCTCACACAGCTTTCCAGGGACAAAGCTGTCATCAGACAGGGTTCGGCTTTCCAGGGACACAGCAGGCTCACGGGGACTCAGCGGGGTCTTGGCTGTGGGGTCTGACCTCGGCTCGGACCTCACACAGCTTTCCAGGGACAAGCGGTCAGCAGACAGCGTTCAGCTCTCCAGGGACAACAGCAGGCTCACGGGGACTCATCAGGGTCTTGGCTGTGGGGTCTGACCTCAGCTCAGACCTCCCAATAGCTGTTCTCTCTATCTATCGTGCAGGGGACCAACACAGCGGTCAGCTTGTCAGGGACACAGCAGGCTTGCAGAGGCTCGGCAGGGTCTTGTCTGTGGGGTCTGTGGGGGGCCTTCTTAAGCCGGCACAGGATGCTTCCCGGTTGTCTCGGCAATGGCCGGCCCAGCATCGCATTACCGAGGCATGCCCCCTGACTCTGGCCATGCTTTCGGGAGCGCGACCTTTGCCTCCAGCAGGCACAGAGCACGGGAAGCCTCGTGCCTGTGCTGCGCCCACTGGGGGGACACGTAGGGACACCTCGGCAGCCTGCGCGGGGATTCCTGGTGGGGGGGGGGGGCGAGAGATGCTACCCACACCACAGGGGGCATTTCCTCCTGTCCTGCACAGCCTTTTATGTAGGCTGCGCAGGTCACAAGGAATCTGCAAGGGGGGAGGGAGGGGTGGATTAAAGGGAGAGGGAGCAGAGGGATATCAGACAAGGGGGGAGGGGGGGGTGGACCGTGACACACATGCTGCAACATTTTTTGGGCTCCTAGCTGCTGACATTGCAAATTAATAGGATCAGTAAACAAGTTCCCCCTAAATGCTTACAGGATATCTTTTACACATTATATGTGATATTTACAGCACTTTGCTTAGGATGGCCCTGATTTTACCCCCCCCACTTAGCTGTCCAGACATCCAGCGGTGTCCTCACCCAAGCCAATTCTTCAGTTGGCTATCGGGTGCTTGTGCCACCATCTTGACTAAGGGAAACCAGCAGTGAAGCCCTGTGGCCTCACAGATGGTTTCCTGCTGTGCATGTATGAAGCGCACTGAGCTTTGTGAATGGGCTGCAGTTTTCTGGGACCTGTGAAGTGTCTGAGAAGGCTGCGGGCACAGGAGGGGGGTTGAACTCGAGGTGAACCGAGCCGGAAGTAGGAGTGGGTACCTGTCAAAACCAGGTACTGGCTCCCTCTGAAAAAGTACCAAATGTACTAACGGAGGGAGGAGGCAGACAAGTGGAGCTTCCCCTTATGGGTGGAACTCCGCTTTAAGCTGCATACAGTAGGCACCTAAAAATATTAACTACCATTCTTTATAAATGCCCACACGTATGAATCCTAACGGCGTTTAGTTTTCTTCAACCTCAGGGAGTGTCAGAGACTTTATGTGGCAGAGAGCTCAAACTGCTGTCTCCCTATCCCTCTGGCTCAGTCACCACCAGGGTGTCTGGCTGCTCCTTGTGACTGATATTCCTCTGCACACATGAAGGGAAACATTAGTGATGCAGTGGCCAAGGAGAAACTACCGGAAAATGTTGGATGCTGAAAGCAATATTAGTATAAGACTAAAAATGGAATATATTGCAGCTTACCAATCATTAGATGTAGTGGTTGCATTTATTTGCTTTTTTTAGACTTTCTTCCCTCTGTTTTCACCTAATGATCTGGCCAATAACATACCTCCTGTATTGGGCTTCATGCACACTGAGAAACTCAAAAATGTTTTTGAGTTATAGTTGTTTTCAAAATAAAAAAAACACAGAAAAAGCCACATTTTTGCATGCATGCTAATGTGCGTTAATGCACATTTTTAACAAAATTATATAATATGGTGAAGCGCTCAACTTAAGAAGTGAAAATTATCTCATACCCAAATCAATGTGCAAACTGAATAATCAATATAAATAAAATAACTAGTGCAATATCCCATATATGAATTATACGTCCCTGGTGGTATAGTGATAAACAACTAATACTTTTTAAACTGTGCAAAGTGATACATATAAACAGAAATCATTAAATAAAATATAAATACAAAAATCAATTGTGATGCCACACTGTGCAAAATCATAAAAGTGTTCAAATGACATCACTCCATGCTGCAATGTGCTCTTCGTGAAAAAATCTTGACGTGACTCCCCTCAATGATAGCCAAAATGCCCCCTCACCTTCCACATTCGACCCTTGCGGGTCACAAAGCTTTATATATATATATATATATATATGTATATATCTCTGCCAGGTGTTTTTCTCCTCCACTGCCTCCACCGACCCAATCAAGATCCTCCTCCAGACACTGGGTTCCACTGAAATAACTCCCCTCACAATACGGACTCAGACACAGGGCGCCTCTTGAGATGATATACTGTATTGAGGGTCAGTACAGATTTATTGTACAAATGTTTGTATGCAAGCTTCTGTTCTAAACTCCGATGCCGTCAGATGGAATCTCTTTCCATCTGACGGCATCGGAGTTTAGAACAGAAGCTTGCATACAAACATTTGTACAATAAATCTGTACTGACCCTCAATACAGTATATCATCTCAAGAGGCGCCCTGTGTCTGAGTCCGTATTGTGAGGGGAGTTATTTCAGTGGAACCCAGTGTCTGGAGGAGGATCTTGATTGGGTCGGTATAGGCAGTGGAGGAGAAAAACACCTGGCAGAGATATATTATACATATATATATATATATATATATATATATATAAAGCTTTGTGACCCGCAAGGGTCGAATGTGGAAGGTGGGGGGCATTTTGGCTATCATTGAGGGGAGTCACGTCAAGATTTTTTTTCACGAAGAGCACATTGCAGCATGGAGTGATGTCATTTGAACACTTTTATGATTTTGCACAGTGTGGCATCACAATTGATTTTTGTATTTATATTTTATTTAATGATTTCTGTTTATATGTATCACTTTGCACAGTTTAAAAAGTATTAGTTGTTTATCACTATACCACCAGGGACGTATAATTCATATATGGGATATTGCACTAGTTATTTTATTTATATTGATTATTCAGTTTGCACATTGATTTGGGTATGAGATAATTTTCACTTCTTAAGTTGAGCGCTTCACCATATTATATAATTTTGTTTACACATATCTTGCGGTATATAGAATAGGTGGTAGCAGCTAACTCTTTGGTCACTAGGTTCTGTGGAGCGCAGGAGGATCTCTGCAAATGCACATTTTTATTTTAATTTTTAGACCATTTTTTATGCTTTCCCAATGCACAAGTGATGAGGGTTTTTTTGCCTGTAATATCCCTTGCCACTAAACTCCTGAAAATGCCTATAGTGTGCATAGCTACATTGGTTAACATGGAGTGGAGTGAACAGGCAGAAAAAAAATAAAAGCTCAAAACAGCTCAAACACCTGCAGGGACAGCTTCTTTGAGCTGCAGTGTGCGTGAGGTCTAAGAGTGCCCCCACTATGAATGGAGGCGTAACAGAGACACCTTTGGACAGCAGTATTGTTAATCTCTGGGGAGGGGTGTGTTAGATGTACCAGCAGATTTAGATATGCTAACAAATTGATGTCAAACTCTAGCTCACACTTTATAAGTAGATACAGCAACAGTTGATTTTCCTTTTGAGATAAGGGTTTGACATAAATAAACAACACTGACCATTGTAGGCATCCCTGTTAGTGGTAAATGGTTTGTCTCAAGCCTCTAACTACTATATCTGCAGGACAGCTTGTTCTGTTGAAAAACAACAGACTTACTGGCAAGATCTCCGGGTGAAAAACCCCCCAAAAAAGCCTAAATAAGAAAACGAATGCAGACATTACATCGAAGAATTGGTAAGCTGCTATAAATGTTTGCTTTTGGATTTAATACCACTTGTAACTCTGGAAGATTCCAGTGGAGATGGTAATAAGTATAGCACATGTATTTTTAACAGATGCTGACCTCTTTGACCCATTTGTCTGGTGTCACTAACAACACCCAGTAAAAATTTAAAAATTCATAAGATCCATCTAATCAGTTTTGGAGTCAAAAGGTACCATCACTGCAGAATGGTTGAAGCTCTGTTCAATTCTAAATTTCAAATAATTATTCTCAACAGACAATACAAATGTCTTTCAATTTAAGCTTTTCA